CCAAGCTGAGAGGGAGCTGTGGCTTGATCTATTTCTTTCTGGCTTCTTGTTAGGGCCAATGTGTCCACCAGAGTTCACATGCTGAGTCTTAACCCTGGAGCTCAGAGTGGACTGCAGAAGCACCCAACCTCGGAAGGTGCGATTTACACGTTAAACTCCGTCATGCTGCAGAGTTGGAATCATTCGGTAGAAGCTGCACTTGGAACGTTGAATCTGATCCTTCCTGGGTTGGTGACATGTGGGAGGTCCTGTTTTGCACAGCTGGGCAGTTCTCTCAGCCCTGCCACCACCAGGGGAGCAAGTGACCCTCTGCAGCGTGCCGTGCTGCTGAGCGGGCTCTTGGGTGGATCCGGGGCATTTGATGCATTTCGACTCAGTGTATTTTCAACTTACAATGGACTTATTGGGGGTGACCCCTTCATACTCAAAGGGCTTCTGTATTTGGTGTCTTTCCAGAAATGATTAAGCGGTCACCAGGGTGGCCTCACCCTACAAGACTGGTGTCCTAAGAGAGACAGCCATGTGAGGGCTCAGGAGGGGATGTCCATGGAGGGGCCTCAGAGGAAACCAGCCAAACCTTGATCTCAGACTCCCGGCCTCCAGGACTGGGTTGTTGAAGTCACCCAGACGAGGGCACTTGGTCATATGGCCCAAGAAGATGGGCTTTCCACCCCCCCCACCCCCACAGGTTGAGGCCATTAGCTCTCAATCTCTGGTCAACACCAGAATCACCTGGAGGCTTACTTAATGGGCAGATGCAGGGGCCCGGGGCATGGCCGAAACCTGCATGCTCACTGGTGCACGCTACTGATGCTGACACTGGACCTCGGGTGGGATACCCTGCCATGGGACGACAGGGACTTGCCGGGCCACCCTCATGTCCCTAGTCCCCACAGTCCTGCCGGCTCCTGCCATCTCAACTTCAAAACGATGAGGCTGAGTGTCTTTAGACTGTTGGTTTTGCCTGCAGGGCCCCGGGCAGGGTCAGGGGGCCCTGTGATCCTTGCAGGGCATGCTGTGGCCAGGAGGCCACCGGCTGAGGATGTGGCGGAGGGAGCAGCTTTCTCTCTCCCTCAGGACACTTTGTAAAGTCAGAAAGCGGGAGGGGGTGAGAGAGCCACGCTAGGCGCAATCCAACACGGAGACCCTTGTTTGGTGACGGAGGGGTCAGACAGGGGACAGGGGGCTGTTATCTCTGGAGACCTTTGACAAAGCACACGTTTCCCTTTGAGGAAGCGCTCGGGGGCCGGGCCTGGGTTTAATAATGGAGCCCTCACACAGGAGAGGTGAGGTCTGGACGGCTCTGTCTGCTGAGAGCTGTCTAATCCTGATAAATGGAGCCCCGTCCTTCCCACTGTGAACAGTCCTGGCGTTAGATTAAACATATCAATCCTGTTTGTTACCTTCTCTGATCCGCCAGCTGGCACCTGGCCGGCCCCTGGGGATCTGTCTTCGATGGCCCTACACAGGAAGTGACAGGGTTCAGCAGCAGAGACCGGGATAATTGCTTGCGGTGCAGTCCCGGGGGGAAGGTGGCCACAGAGGGTCGATGCTGTCACAGAGACGAGGTCGGGGAGCTGCGGCTCTCTGGGGATCCTGTGATGCTTTGGCAGAAAAATGTTTCTGAAATAGATGCTGCTCCTGCCCCTTCAGGCTGGCAGCTGTCTCCAGGCTGAGCTGTGCCGGGCCTGGAGCACTGCTCCTGGGGGGGGAGCTGCCTGGCTGCAGCCCCCCTGCAGGGTACATCCCCGTTGACCGGTGGCTGACTCTGTGGCTGTGTCAAAGGGCCAGCACTGCACCTCGGGGTGGGGCCAGTGCGGAGCAGCTCCCACTCCAGCCTCCAGTCACGGCCTCTTCCTGCTCAGGCCCCGTGCAGTGCCCCTTCCCCTGAGAGAGGGACTTGGTCACAGGCACCCAGATTTCTCTCCTCCCCATGGCAACGGCCCCTCCC